CCCCCCCCCCCCGCCCCCGCCCCCGCCCCCCACCACCCCAATCGGTGTTGTGCGGTGTGTACGTGTACGTGCGCGTTTAGAACCATACATTATTGAATATGTGTGAATAATAAACGATTATTTACAAGCTAATGTATACAGCAGGCTATTTTAATTTACGCGTCTACTGGGAAAACTATACGCGGTAGTAGTGTAAAGACGAAGTATACAATACTTTAACAATTTACTAGCCTCCGACTACCTCAATATGGTCCACCAACTGGAAAAAGTAACATTAAATAGCTCTAATACCTATTAAAATGATTTTGTGTAGGTCCTATGACTATCATTAAAATTAAGAAAAACTCTTCTTTAATCAGCTTGGAAAATAAATTTTTTTCTTTTTGCAGGAAACTCTTTAACTATTGTTAATTTACATTATACGATATTTGAAATTCTTTATCTAATTTCATGTAATTGTTATTAAATATTTCTTAGTAAATATAAAACTATTTTAATATTGTAATTAAATGAGATAATATAAATACATTAGTATAAGCCACGGGGCTACATTAGTATAGCGCGAAATAATCTCATATGATAAATCTCTAGTTAAGAAATTTTTAATAAGTAATAATTTATTCTCTTCCATTAATACAATAAAATATTCCTTTAGATTATTACAATATCTTTACAGTTTTAGAATATATTATGAATTGATTACTGTAAAATTGCACATTATTTGTTAAAATTTTAGCATTAACAATAAATTTAGCTCATTATCAAAAGTACTTAATTAAAATAAGTATTAATCGTTGACAAAGTAATACTTCATTTAAGCAAGCATATCGATATTTCAATTATTATCGTTAATATGTAAGATAATTTCAGTGTTATGAAGATGCAATAATATATAGTGTTTTGCATTCGATAAATTCACAAGTTTTTTATTTTGCAAAACTTCTTATGATAAACGGATGAACGATTCTTAATTAATTACATAGATTTTACACATATTTAAAAAATTTTTGAAAATAATGAATTTAAAAAATAAATAATAAATGCAAAAATTATATATATATATATATATATATATATATATATAACAAATAGGTTTCTCTAAGAAATTTAATAACAATTGAAATATTTACAAGAGCAATATAATGCCTATTTCGTGTATTTTTATGTGACTAGTAGATATTTTTAGATGAAAACTGTTCAACGATGAAATCTAAAAATTAACAAGAACTAATAAAGAATTATGTTAAAAAATAATGTTGTTAATTTATCAATAGATTATTAAAATCCATTTATTGTAACATAATTATACAATTGATTTTTAATATTTAAAAATTATTTAAAATTAACTTTAAATTAAACGGAACTTTATCAAATAGTTAATAAAAATTTAATTTTAGAACTGAAGGCTAAGATGAAGTAAAATTCGAATCAGAATGTTCGAAAGTAAAATATTTTTGAGTATACTGAGCCATAGTAAAAATTATAATGGTAATCATATATTAATAAAAGTTAAGTATATTATGAGATACTCATAATATTAATAAAAACTAAGAATTAATATCATTAAACCGTCGATATTTTAAACAATGATCAAATAATAATTATCATATTAATTGTTATTAATATATTATTTTAACAATTAATTAGTAATTTTTAAATAAAAAATGTCCATAACTCTTAATCCAATTTCTAATGAATATTGCATCTGTACATACAGCATTGTAAGAAAATCTTATGTTTTGTCATAAAAATTAAAAACATCTTCGTAAAATAATGTATACGTAAAAAATAATTTAAAATAGTTTAATATATAGTATAGTATTTATAGTATTTCAGAATCATTGGATCATTATATCATGGACATTATAAATGGATCTAAAAATATTTGTTAAAAAGTTATGAAATTATAAAACAAGTCTATGTATTTAACTTATTAAAACTTGTGTAACAACTGTAATAAATTTTTTAATTGTTTTTTTAAATTTAAATACAAATTAATAAAAGATTTGTAATTATAATGTTTCAATTAAAGGAATTCAAAGCACAAAATATATTCTTTTTCTTGTATTTACAGCAAATATACGAAAAGTCTTTTAACAAGATTTTTAATAAATCTGAAATTACGATTACATAACGTAATATAAAAAATATATTTTCTAAACAAATATACAAAACATGCTCCTACTTACATGCTCTATCAGATTTTATTTGATAAAATCATATTTTTTTAGAAAAACTGTTTTATAATACACAATATGAATGGATACAATTACACTAAATATTCCGTTGCTGTACGTATAAAAGATTTGATATTTAACCGACTAGTGTAAAAACAAAACTGCCTGAGAGAAACCAGCACTAACTATGCGTGTACAACTTTCACTCCACGAAGATGTAAAATCATTGGCGGCCTTGTATGTAATCAGTGGAAGGGGACGTCTGACGCTTAGCACTCTACTTTACCGACTAGAAATTAGCGCGAATGAAGTAATGATCGGATTAAATTGTAATTTTTAGTAATATATTTATAGGAAATTCAGGTGAATTTTAAATGATCTTTATTATAATATATTATGAGTATATAATATTATATGACTATTATTGATAAATTTCATTCTCTATAATAGCTTTAATTTATTAATTTAATTAATTATATTTTTTTATAAAAATTCTTTCAAAATTAACATTACTGAAGCATCAACTGCTATTAGAAAATTTATAAATATATAAGAATTTATATTAAGCTCCATTCTATAGTTTCATTTGTAATAAAATGTTTAACACAAAAGCTGCTGATATATGCAAAATTAATTTTCTATGGGTCTATTATTTATAATAAATATGTATTATTATTAATATTATTATCATGGAAAGCATATGAAATAATTTAGAATTTGTATCGTGTGAACGATTGATCAAATACGTTCTAATCGGTCTGAAAAAAAATTCATTCCTCCATATTGTTAATACTCTATTTAATTAAAATTAAATTTATCAAAAGAAAATAGTTGCTGAAATAATTATTTCAAATAATATTTACAATCTGTATAATTAAAAATAAAAATAATGAATTAAATTGTTTAAATAAATAAAATGTGGCATTATAAAATTAATTTATATTTATATAATGCAATTATCTTAACTTTTAAACATTGATTATTAAAACATTCATTGTTAGAATAATATTAGCCATCATCTTTCTGTAATAACTAAAGTCTATTTGCTAAGCATACTTTGTGTACAGCATTAAAAGCCATTAATCGAGTAGTTATTTTAAGAATAAAAGAATGAATTGAAATAAAAAAGATGAAGGTAATTACTCTCGTTGTTACTGGGGAAAGAGCGGATTAATTCTGTCAAATAAATTACCCTCGGCAATTACTCGTGCAAGCAATAAACGTTTGAAAAGTCCAATGCTGCATCGACGCGCTTTAATGTTATAGCAGAAAGTCGGGAATACGTCAGAATCGTCGTCCAGCATCCATCGAGCATCTATCCAGCAGCCGTACAGCTTCCGTTCAGCTCTCTGTAGTACGGATGCCGGTATTGGACGCAGAAGCCGGTGACAAACAAACGGGCCTATAAAATCCTTTTGATCTAAGGCGGAAGAAAAATCTGTACCACTGCCCCTGGCAGACATCCATTCTCGTGCAGATGCCAATGCAGGCAAAGGCAGACCGGCACGAGCCTCAAACCCCCCCCCCCCCCACC